TAAAAGTAGAGTTAGACAGAAAAGTTTTAGAATTAAATTTTATTATATTTTAAATAGATACATAATATAAGTGCTAGATCTATTCTAGATTAAAAATTATATACGCAATACTTGTAAAAGGACAAATGGAAATATTATGGAAAAAAAATTATAAGTTATAAAAATTTTGAAAAAACAATACTAATTTTTCTTCACTGACATAGCGTTTTCAACATTTGACGTTGCTACCAGTACAAAGGGTGAAGTGCGGAAGGTGCGGGGTGGAGTAAAAGCAGAATAAACCGGTTAAAAACTAGAAAAGAACGTTTCATTGAAAATTTGACATCACACCTACACTATCCGTGTACACTCATACAAATGCAAAGCTCCGCTTAAATCAAACGCACTATAAGTCGTCATACATTTTTTTTAAATTAAATACTGTATTGCAATTACAATCTTAATTCATATGTTTGACCCATTTGACACATACACACATATACAAACACACGAATATATATAAGTAGCTACGTTATACCTTCAATAAGCATTCTACCTACATGCATATGTAATTATAAATGAATCTATACAGTTATATTTTGACAATGATAATTTGTTATTATAATTTTTTTTGTAAATAAATATTAATAATAAAAAAGCTAATTTTAAAGGCTTCCCGTTACATGTGTATAGTACACATTGTTATTATATATTATACAAACTATTTTTGAAATTGTAAAATAACCATTTGATTATATTATTCTTTATTATTATGTAATTATTATTTTTCTATTTGTATAATATTCTACAAGTAGCTCTAAATAAGAATTGAGCCTTTTTAATTTTACTACATTTCTTCGAATATAAAACATCTGAATGAATTTCTATTTTAAATTTTTGTTAGTCCTGAAACGTCTTGTTTTTAGTTTTAAAAAAGCCACCTTTTACTATTCAAGACTTTTTTTATTTAAACCTACTTATATATATATTTATAATGGAGGCCTACTTTCATGACTGTATCATCATATAATTAGTCAATGAAATAAACGTTTTTCTAATAAAAAAAATTCCATCTTTGTCTTTTTTATGCCAAATGAAACTGGCGGACCATACATTCTGTGCACATATGAAGGCCAATATTTAAGAATTAAATCGAATATTATATTTTGAACAATAAATAAAAAATGATGTCATTCAAAATTAAAATAATTGTGACATAATTTGATTTTATCGCTCTCCAGATTGTAGGAACTAGTTTTTTTTGTCCATATTGAGATTTTATTGCTACTACAATATTGTTTAAAATAATTCGTAGTATGAAATTTTGTAACAAATAAAATTATGTTATTGTATCCCAACCGAAACATTTATATTTTGTTTAATATATCAACATACTTTTTAGAAAAGCTATTGCTTTATTTTATTTCATTTAAATTTAGTTACTGAATTTGGTCTTGAACTTCGAAAATAGATTTTTCTGTTTGATTATATTAAAATTGATGTTTTTAGCAAAATAAAATTCTATTTATAGATCAGATAATATTCTAAACCGATGATACTCCTTTTAACTGAATACCGGCTACAATTTTCCCACCAGGTTTTAATAATAAATGTGGATATTTCTAGAACACCTATATTTAAATAAAAAATTATGTTAATTTAATCTATCTTCCTTTGACCTATTATATATTTTACATAAAATATTTATAGTACCCATATTATAAATACGAGCCAAAGTAAAGGATTTTACAATATGAAAGCCTATTACCAACTGGTTTGGGTGACATTAGTAAATTCCTTTTTTTTTTGTTAACAGTTAATTAATTCAACCGGCAACGGCAAAAAAACCGTTCTAGTTATGTAAAAAACAAGTATACTCCTATCTTTTTGCTTAAGTCGGTTATTTTTTTTATTATAGTAAATATTGAATTACTTTTGTGTATTTCAAATGTTTTTACTTGTTTGTTTTTCTTTGTTTTTTTTTTTTTGGTTAAAGTAGGTTTATAGACAGATATTGTTATTTTAGGACAATTTTCACATTTGTAACCTTACCATTTGATGTTGCATTGACCTTTTAAAACACCTTAACACTTTACTTATTACTTAATAAAAGTTTAAAGGTCTTATCCTGAGTCTACACTTTTCTACTACATAAAAAAAAATACAATAAAATAGTGTCTTTATGATCAGGTAGGAAAATATTTTAAAAATTATACAAATACATCATATTCGTTGAAGGTTCATTGTTTTCTATTTTAATCATTTATTTTATAGAGCGGATTAATCATTATGAATGTATGATGTTTATTATATTGAATTCTTCAATATCATTAAGACAAAACCATAATAATATTCAACATACACTTGAAAAACTTGTTGTATTAACTTTAATTAGTGTCTTCGTTGAGATAAGGTTTAATGCGGATTAATGCAGCCTACATTCTAGAGATGTGTACTTGACCACTATTACTAATAATGTTTTATTACGTTTATCGGTTTTAAGGGCCTTAATACATAATATATTATATTGTATTTTATAGCAAAAGTACAATTATAAATATTGAATCAAACTGAAATATAGCTCTAATAATTAATCAAGCTCAATTTAATCTGGTATTGTAAGAATCGTGTAAAATTTATAACGTTTGTATATTTTATACCCTTGTAGATATTTCTTTACTGTGTAAATTCAGTTTTATAAGAAGATTAGGAGTTTAGAGTGTAATGTTTTTAAAGATTAATTATGTTTGGTCAATCGACTTGTACTGAGCTTTTCAACTGAGAATTCTATTGAAAAATCTATGTTTTTTAAAGTTATTAATATTATATTGTTTTTATTATTTATAAAACTAGCGTGAATAAAATTATATCATCATGCATATTAAATGACTGCAACTTTTAGCATAATTCGACCGTTTATAGGAGGATGTGCCAGGTCATCCTGTGGTGCGATTAATCACTTCATATGATTAAGAAGAGGTGCAAATAATTATAATTAAATATTTTTCTCTGGTCAGGTTACATTTAAAAATGCATTTTTATTATTGTAGACCAAATGTTTTTACCAATGTTAAAGAATGTACTTTAAATTTCAGATGTCGTCTGAATAATAAATACAAGGGCGCTTGTTGATTCATTTCTCTTTTTATAAAAAAAATACAGGTTATATGTTTGTTTTAATAACACAACTTTAAATTGATGATTTCATTGATAAATAAAAATAATGTAAGCATCTACTAATAATCGCTTCTCTTTGATGAAAAATATCTATATTTATTTAAAATATTAATCTTGAAGTGTCGTACAATAGATCATCAAATTAGCATTAACGGTTTCAGTGTTGCTTAGTTTGATAAATTGCATTTTTATCCGGTTTGAGTTCATAGTGTAGGGGTCGTATTTATCGAATAACAATATCTACTATTGTTTGCTACGCTTCTCAAAGTATTAAGTTATATAGTGATTTAATTTTATTACAATTTTTAGATTGATTTCTTTAGAAGAAAATTATAAGTTATATCTAAAAACTTAAAACAATTTTCATGTGGCTGTAAAAACATACTTTTTAAATATATGTTAATATATGTCTGTTATAATAACCTTCAATGTATTGTTAACGGATATATTGAAATAAAAACTAAAGAAGTTACTAAGCAGCTCTCCCAAATATATATGATCCCCACAAATATAGAAGCGGTTAGTGATGATTATATTATACAAGATATTTCATTTACTTCATATTAAAACTTTAATAGCATGAATAAAAGGAAAGATTACAGAATTAATAAAATCAAAATCTAATTATAAATTTATTTTTGTTAATTATTTCATGATTAGTCGTGTTTTGAGTGTAGTTTAACGTATGACGTTATAAGGAGGCTGTGATCAATAACTCATCAATCTGTATCATCTAAATGAACTAGTTTATAATTTAAAAATTTACATTTGAAAATTATATTATGTCGTCTGAATCCTTGAACTATAAGACGAACCTTAAAAATAATATCAAAGTAAACATTTATTTTATTAATTAGGATGGGTTAATACTGATTAAAACAATAAAGTCAAGGGCCGGTTTAATTATTGATTAATCTAAATATTTTTATTGGAATAATAATGTGAGGACGTTGTCTTTTAAGTTCAAATTTGTTCTTTTTCATTAAGTTAACTCACACATTAAAAACTTTAATTTTACTAACCATACATTTTTTTTAAGTATGAAAACTATAAAAGATTCATGTTAGAAGAAAATATTTGTTTCAGAGAAATATAACTATTTAACTTTTTCGTTATAAAATATTTATTCAGAACATAAAATCTAAAATTGTATAAAGCAAATAATTTATATTCGTAAAAGCTTAAAATAATGATTCTAAATTATATTTTAACTAAACAAAGTTTTACTTCGGTCTGTTAAATTGAATAATAAACGAAAAACAGATAAAAAGCTGCATAGTCACTGAAAAGATGAAGAGTGTAGTAGTGTAGTAGCGATCTACATTCTGTTATCAATGTTAAATAACTTAAATGTATTTTAATAATCATAACACACATTAACACAACTTTCAAAATTAATCCATACGTAAATGAAATCTTACTGTAAGCTTGTTATTATTTAACTATAATTCAAACAATGGACTAAACAAACTAAGAACAGCAATACATCTTTCATATGAAAGAATGTTGTTTTAAATTTTTTATTATATATGTGATTTATTTAATTCAAAAATTTAATGCTTAATTTATTTACATTTATTAACTACACAGTAACATTTTCTTAATCATTGAAATAAATTGTCAATTTAAGAGTCATGATAATTATCTTAAACTATTTATTAATGCCCAACAAAATAGCCATAAAATTAATTAGACGATATAACAAAGTTTGAGAAGCGTTGTAGGTAATTATAATATTAAGCGCATAATAAATGAGCTTCAGTATGTTAAAAAAAAAGATATATATAGGCATTGATCTAGCAGAATACAGCATTCAAGTCGTCTAGCTGTGTACACTAACAGCAATGCGTTGCTTGGTGGTGGGTTATAATTCTTATATATTTTTAATAAAAAAAAAATAGTAAGAAAAAATTATCAATGATTTATTCTATATTTTTATTATTTCAGATCCTCTGCGTGGTGGCTTCGGCTGCCTGGGCAGCTGAAGAAGTATCGTAAGTATATGTTTAAAACACATTTATAATAATTATTTTTTTATTATTTAATATGTATGAAGATAACTACAAAATTAATTAACAATTTTTTTTCAGCGTTGATTCCGTCGTTGAGTCAAGTCCAAGCCCTTCCGTTAGTCCTTCTGTTAGTCCTTCTGTTAGCCCTTCAGTTAGCCCTTCGGTCAGTCCTTCAACTATTCAACCTGCGAGTCCCAGCCCTAGGCCTACACCATTCCCAATTAGCCGCGCTATTGCTACAGCGACAGCGTATAACCCTTACCGGTACAACGTTGCTAGGGTTACGACCCCTCGTAATGACCCGGGACGCTACAACCCCGGGCGTTATGACCCTGGACGTTATGACCCCGGACGCTACGACCCCGGTCGCTATAACCCAGGAAAATACGACAGCTCAGGACGTTACATTCCGGACCCCAGTGGTGCCTACAAGTAAGTTACTTTATTTTAACAGTAAGAATATCTAAATAAAAATAAAAAAATATTCCAAATTCTTTTTATTCTAATACATTTTTTTTATTTATAGGAAGTATGAGAGTGTTCAAATTTTTATTATTATATAATCTAAATATAATGTTTCATTTTAACATATGACAATTATGAAATATTTAATTGATGACGCTTACTGTTTCATATAATATACATTAACTCATAAACTTAATGAGTTAATAAGGTTGACATATTATAAAGTGTAGAATTAACGCATCACTTTGCAAGTTGAATCAAATTGCATAAATTGTTTCTTATTTGTGTTATTAAATGTAGAATTTATCTATTTAGATACTACAAAATATCATCACATGGTTAGGTCATGGATAAAAATAGTCTAAGTACAAACTTCTAAGAGACAAAAATTATTACGACAATTTTCTGGTCAAAAAATAGAATTAATTCATTGCTTTTCTTTGAAATAATTTTTGGAAATTATTAACACATACTTCTTTGACAATAACAAATACAATCGTTTTAAAATATTGCATTGAAACAATGTAGAAGAACAATAATACTTAAGTGTGATGTAATTGTTTCATGTTTAATCCTTTTCCATGTGAATTAAGTGTAAATTGTAAGTGTATACAAAAACATTTTCAGTCCGACTATCAATGATAAAAAACTTATCTATTTACAATAATCAAGCCTCCTAAAAAAGTTATGATTATGGCTCCTATTAACGAGGAGTTTTTATTATGGATGAAAACTTATAGCCTTAAAATTTATTAAGAAATTCTAATTAATTTTCAGTGGAGACCGTGGTGACAGGGGTGGTGCAGGAGGCAAATATTCCGGTTCTTCTGATAGGGGAGGTCCAGGTGGAGCATACTCCGGCTCTTCTGACAAAGGAGGTCCAGGTGGTCCAGGTGGAGCATACTCCGGTTCATCTGATAAAGGCGATGCTGGTTCTTATGTACCTGATAAGTCAGGAGTTTACAAGTGAGTTTTAAATGTCTGGCAATTACTGGAATTCAACAGAGGCATATCAATGAACCTTCTCCATATGAGAAGAGGCCTTTGCTCAGCAGTGGGCTCTGATAAGTCGATGACATCACATCACATATTAATAAATTGCTATATTCATATTTAAATAAAAAATTAGCTTGGTGCAAGTCTCGATAAAACTATGATGAAAACCATAGCTACCAGAGTAATGTTAACAAGGTGATTTATTTTTTTGATCCATTTGTTATTATTATTAGTGAATATGAAAAATGATGAACAATGAAAAAGACAAGTCATTAATTTAATTTAGATTTGATGCTATAAATTCTGTTCATGAAATAAAGAGATGATTAACAATGTTTAATAAATATATCTTATAAGTAGCGGTACTAAATTAAACTATACATAAACATTAACTTTTAACGTGTTTACAGTGGCGACCGTGGTGATCGAGGTCAAGCTGGTGGATTTTATTCAGGTTCTGCAGACAAGGGTGCGGGTAAACCTGCGTAAGTATTATATCTGAGTAAAAGACAAAAGCACAGTGACGAATTGCTGTCTAAATAGCTTGGATTCAACATTAAATTTTATTACGTGGTTAGTTCTCTCTTTATAAAATGGTGGTAAGCTGTCAAGAAATTCAAATTGTTATCATTCATTAGCCAGATTTAAGTAAATCATATTCGAGTGTGGTATAGATTCTGAGAACATACGAAGTAATTAGTATTCCTTTATTTCAAACTATCTTTGTATTGTTTGATTATGTTTAAAAAAGTACCGTATTGACATACTGAAATTTTAATTTCATGTCAGCGCCTAAATATTTTTAATATACGTATATTAGAGACTTGTCAAATATATTTATATTATTTTTCAGGGGTGAAAATGTAAGTCCCAGTCCTGCTGTGTCTCCTGCTTCAGTTTCTGCTGCAGCTGCCGTAGCGAGTAGTCCGGTGGTAGTTAAGCCTACACCAGCTTATGTAGCCCCTGTTGTTCCCAAAGTGAATCCCAACTCTGGAAAATTCGACTATCAATACTCCATTATCCGACAAGAAACTGACGTTCTACCCGATGGTTACCATTACTTGTATGAGACAGAAAATACAATTCTTGCTGAGGAAGCCGGAAAGATTGAAAGAATTGACGGTGAATCTGAAGGTATGAGGGCCAAGGGATTCTTCCAATATGTCGGACCTGACGGTGTAACCTATAGAGTTGATTACACTGCTGATGAAAGAGGTTTTCTACCTAGCGGAGCTCATCTGCCGTAAGGAATCTAGTCTAGTTAAGTAGTTGTTTTGTTTTTAAACTATATAGTTACGGCAATAATTTTGTCGATGCAGGTTGTTTCAAGGTTTTTGTTATAAATAAATAAAAATATTAAATATTGAATACATAAATATGTCGTTTCATTAAGTATTGCAATGGCGGTACAAATTATTATTTCTGCGGCAACTTATTAGCGCCTTTTGAAAAATATATAGCAAAAAAGAGGCAATTTAAAATGATCAACAAAAAAAATACATATTTGTATTTTATATATACATATTTAGTTTAGTGTTATAACATTCTCGAATAATTCTATAAATATATTAAAAGTTATAAGTAACGTTAGAGTTCTAATTATTTGAGTCGTAAATTATTGTTTAGTTTGTTTTTTTCATAAGCAATAAGAACAAAAGATTTATAATAATGTTAGTTGCATAGTCAGACGTGTGAATAAAAGTGTAAGCTGAAAAAATTAAGTTGCATCTCTTAGGTTAACAAAATAATCCTCGAATAATTCTCCCTCACAAGTGAAGACTTTTCTTACTTTTCTGACTTTTGATGAAAGAAAGTTCTATGAGCAGTTGTTAATAGTTTTTCTTCTTCATTTCAAAGGCAGTCAACCCTGACGTTCCTGCGGAAGCCCTTCCTCTTTTCCCTTTTTTTTTAACCTCATTATTTTCCCTTCATAACTGTAGTTTTGTTTCATATAAACCATCTGCTAATGACGATAGCAAAACAGTTGTTTATTATTTACAATTGAGTATTTAATATTAAATAGAGTTGGAAAGACAGCCATATTAAAGAAAATTATTTTACACTTAAAATATTATATGAAAGATTTGAGGTTAGTTTTGTTATTTAACAAATCTAATACATAAGAGGAATAAGTTTATCTCGATTCCATTGCTTCAGAATGAATCTTTGATATACACCAACTGTATTCATTTATTGAGTATCGAGGTGCCTTCGAAGCTTAAGATGGTTCCCTGAGTCTAAAGGTTAGGTCAAGCTACGGCGGTACTTTACTGAGGGACAGTGTCTTTGTCTCTGAAAAGCACAGGTTCGATCGTGTGTTGAATTCTGCAGTTACGTTTGCAGGTGCTGCATATCACCTTATGGTTTTTTACTCTCTTAAGATACGTGCAAAACACGTGATTTGGTCACAACCACTCTAGTCAACTTTGAGCACAGGCTTAAAATAGCCAGTTTTTTTGTTATTAATAGGATAAATTATAGGAAGTATGTACAATTCTTCGATCTTCTTTTTATTAGAGGAAAACGACATGAAAAGTGGTTGTATCAGGTGGGATAAAAGTCAAGCATCATCCAAACCTCATAAAAAAGGATAATTAAAAGGTTCTTGTTATAAGTTTCCTTTAGCACTCAAAAAAATCATAAATAATATATGCAATATATGTACAACGATGAGATTTGCTTTAAATTATCTGACTCGACGACTTTAAATTATATGTAGATTAATCTATCATATGGGACAACCCATCGATGTCTAAGCATTATATTTAATTGAGTGCTGCTACATCTTACTTAGTTTTACGTTACGCGTTAAAACGTATTATATATGTAGGTGCATATTATCGTACCGTAAGTTTATATAAAAATGGAAGCAAATTTAAAACATGTTTAAAAGTTTTCAGTAATTTTTTGTTTGAATGAGTTCAGTGATGCAGAACGAATGGGTGGACATAGGAGATTTTTTCAAAATGGAGCACCTTAATTTATGCCAGCATTTCAAAATTTTTATCTTAAAGCGTTCCAGATGTTTTTTTTTATGCGAAAGGGAGCAACCGAGCAGACGGCCTACCTGATGAAGGTAGTACCGTCGCCCATAGACATCCGCAACAAAGTTTGCAGATATGTTGCCACCCTCGATTAAGGGAAAGGGGGAGGAAAGAGTGGGAAAGGTACGGAAAAGGGAACGGGTAGAAAAGGGTGGGAAAATTGCAACCTCACTCATCGGTCGAAACGCAGCCATTAAAGACTACTTCACGCCGATCTTCTGTGAGAGGGTGTTACTTCCCCGGTCGAGGCAGCCCATGTTCGAGCTGTAGTAACATAACCACAGCTAGGCTCTACCACCTATATATAAGATGCGATAAAAGTACTGAAAAAACTTGCTATATCTGTGGAAAGGCAGTTGGAACTGCTAAGCATTTGATGGTGGGGTGTAAGGTATTTCTGGACAGTAGTCAATACTCTCGTCATCGTCGTCGTTATCCATAGGGTTCTGGTTATTATTCGTGAAGCGATTAGTCTTTCGGTAGCCAGAGCGCAAAGGGAAATAACCATAAACAAGCGATCAGTAGGTTTTTTTGAGAAAGGCACTAGGGCTACAAAACCGGATTCGGATTGGACTATAATGATGGATACGAATGAAAAAAAATTCCAAATCCCCGAGGATATTTGTGCGTTGGCCTCCAGACTATTACTTACAGACTAGATATTTGTGTAATTGCGAATTTTAAACAGCGTTGTGGTATTAGAGCTTACGGTTCCTTGGGAAAACAACATCCCCAAAGACCATACCATCAAGGTCAATAAATATTACGAGCACACTAAGAGGGAGCGAGAGGTGTAACGGCTAAATCTCTCTACTGCCTACTAAAAGACTTTGGTCTGGCCAGAACTAACATCAATTCATTCTTGGAACGTACTTCGAAGGCAGCCCTAGTAGGTTCTTTTCAAATTTGGTTAGGTAGAGAGAGGAGCTTGGACGGTGGAGGTGGGCGTTTTAAAGCGCGTTAGATAGGGGCCTCCTAAGCCTACATATACCTAGATCGCTAGTCTCAGGTGTCGTGTCAATAGTTACCATGTTGCAGTGCTTAAAATTAAGTTACTACATATGTATGGACCCCACATTATCGCTTGCTATATGAATCAGTATTTTGGTGGAATATTATTTTTCAAAATATACTACCGGACCTTTAATAGCTTTTTATTTTTAGCTTTTAAAGCTCTTACAACTTTTGATTGCGTTATAAAATATAATGGTTTTAGTTAATGGATCTCTGGATTTTGGGGAGATTTTAGTGAGTAATATTTTATTACGAAGAATATACGAAGAATTATATAAACAGGTTTCTAACTTTATTATATACATATAACTCCTTTATTATTATTGTCTTTTTTAAACCTTAAAATAAGCTTACTGTCATTTTGAGGAGACTAGCTTTAACTATTTTATAAATCTTTGATAATTATAATTGTTGCTCTCTATTTAAGCTATTTGAAATGAGTATACTACAAAAAGAGAAACACATAAAACATTCTCTATTCTAGTTCTTTTTTAAATTACTTTTACGCTGAGAAACTGGCAAAGTGCTTTTAATATATTGAATGATATCAGCATTGACTGATATGATAATATATCGTTACGGTAATTTTAGAGTGGTAATTTTTATTTTTACGGTAGGTAAAAATTAAGTTAAAGTAAGCACAGGAGAAAAGTTTTCTTATCGGCTTTGATCAAATTTAGCATCATGTGAAAGAACTGTTTGAATCCTAAAATTAGTGTCATAATGTTAATTTGGGAAGCCTCCATTATACATACTTTGTCATTATAACTAAAAAATGTAACAAGAATACAAATATACTAATTGTTTAAGGGAAAATTTTAAAAAGTGAATAAATATTAATGTTAGTCACAAAATTGGAAAAAGAAATGGATAAATTACTAATTATTTTAACAAAATTTAAATAAAAGGTGACAACAAATCTTTTTTAAATATTATATTAAAAAGACTGATTCCTTGTTTTATGTTAATTTTATTGTAATTTTCATCAACTTTAATCATTAGTCTATTTATTGATAGCAGTCTGAAAAGTGTTACTCATTTTTAAACATTTTTCCAAGGACTTTTAGTTAAGTCTATTAAAAATGTATTATATGTACACCATTCCAACTTTTCCTCTATTCAAAATCCATATAACGTTGAAATGACCACTAAAATTTTTATTTTCTTGTCATGTAATTCGACCCTTTAAACGAAACTAGTGAATTTATTCCAAGGTGAAAATAGTCGTAGACGTAAGAAGATTTAATATTCGAATACCAATAAGATATAGTCTTTTTATTATAATGTATTAAATTAGTAACAGGAAATAGAGCAGGATGTTATCAATGGCGCCATATATTTTAATAGCTTTATTTGTAATATTTTATCATAAGTATGTGCGTATTCCAAGATATGTCAAAAAGTGGATCCATTTACTCTAGATATTATTATATAAAACTTTATGCAACTTTTAATACGATATAATAAAATAGAGTGCAATTCCTAATATTTGTCATTTTTGATTCACGTTAGATAAATACATTCATCATAACTGCCAGTGCCAACATTGTCTTTGGAGGGCGGATACGCCTCGTCGCGCCCTAGAAGAGTGTGCGGTTTGGGGTCGTTAGTGTCAATAACCATGTTTGGCGGCAGGGATTCTCTTATGAACGTCATGCCAAAGATGCTGGACAATCAGGCAAATTGGATTGCCTACAAACTACATACTCCCGACGTTTCGGCTACTTTACAGTAACCGTGACCACGGACAGACGAGATGTGAGTGTCTGTCAGTTGATCTTGTTATTTTATCACCTACCGCCATCGATTTCTTAATGTTATGGCATCCAGCGTGGTACGCCAGAATTACCATTACCATTGAAAATGTAATCGAGCCCCTTTACAAAGCCCGTTCAACAATGAAGTATTGTCATTTAGTTAGATTAGCGCCGTGTCATAAATATCGATCCAAACGATCTTGGATTAGAAACAAATATTCTGGACTTTATCAGATCTGAAAACTGGCTGTCACCTTGTTTGATTCTTAGTTTGATGATCAGTTTCAGAGGATAGGGTTTGTTATAAACTAATTTTCAAATTAATTTGGAGTCCCTAAAACAATCCATATGGTTGTCAGTGGGAATTTTTTCAAGAGTAATAGTGCGGGCTAGTAGTGATAACTAGCATCAACACGTAAATTACTGCTTTAC